GTATCCACTGAGCTGGCCCCATTGGTCATCCTCCTTTCCTTTTGCATCTCTGGCGCCCATCCTCTCTCAGCCGTCTGATTCTTTCCAGTGTGTGTTGCCCATAAGCCTTGCCCACCTTCTTGAGCATGCTGTGTTGGGGTCTTTCCGAATCCTATGACTGAGCCGACTGTCCGTTAATGTAGGTTTTTCTTCCTTGTGCTGTACCACCTCCGGCCGGTGTGTGTTGCCCATCAGCCTTGCCCGCCTTGTGGAGCATGCTTCACATCTTCAATTCGTCGGGGTCTTTGCGCATCATGTGACTGATCCGTCTGTGGGTTAGGTTTTTCCTCCTTGTGCTGTACGGTCTGCACCACCACCGTACGCTTTTTAAATAGAGTTAGTTTGAATTTATGACAGAGTTCAAATTTACGACACAGCGTGCATTTATTACAYAGGTCAAATTTCGCCGATAATGATTCCTGTCCTCCAGATCCAGCCCCACATACCTTCCATACTATAGCTACAGTGACTACGACACCTAGTAGCGGAAGTGTAACAGAGAGAGCAACGACGGCTCCTTTAGAAAGCTTACGCTTGGAACTCGTGTTGTTCGGACTGTTGGAAGACCATTCGTCGACGGTGCCTTCAGAAAGATTGGGCCTTGACTGTGCGTTCTTGGGACTGGTGGAAGGTCGTGTACTGTTGGAAGCCGGTCCGTCCACGGCTCCGTCTCCGTCTCCTCCAGACAGCTTAGGCCCTGAAGTTGCCTCCTTCGGAGTGCTGGGAGATCGCCCACCTGGTGCCTCTGCAGGGGGGGGGTCCGAGCCTGCAGACGAAGGCGGAAAACCGCACGGAGGCAGATTGAGTTTGTTTATTTCGAACTCGTAGACGGCGTGTTTTGCGGCGAGGTAAAGGAAGGTGCCGTTGGGAGTCTCGGAGATGGCTAGGCCGTTAAAAGCGGTATCGGCAACGCTGAAGCTGGGAGAGCTACCGACCCCCACTACGGTATAAATATTGCTGATCTCCCCACCAGGACTAGCGAAGTTGATCAGTTGGATCCGTCCTGCGTTGAACTCAGACACAAACATGTTACATCCATCCGCAGTTAAAGCCAGCCCTGAAGGACAGTCAAATTGCACATTTCCGTTGATCCTCTTCACCTCTCCCGTTGCAACCCRGACWTGAAAAATCCCCCTCTGACAGTTACATGCGTAGAAATATTTGCTGTCAGCAGAGATGGCATGCCGGCTCAGACCTAGATTTATRTTCACACCTGTACTGTTTGTAGAGTTTGGCGGAACAGGGAAGGGTTCTATTGTTACATTTTCACTCACGGAAGTTGGGATGTTCACCTTGAAAAGTGACGCGTCTCTGTTGAGGTASAGGCAAGGGAGTCTGGGATCTGCGGCCATGCTGATGTACCCCTCCTGAGGGATTTTTTCTTGAGCAAGGTCCAAGGATCCGAAAGGGGGTTTGTGGGAGTCTAGGGCAATTGTGACCATCCTATTATACATACCAGTAATCCAAACCAGGAATCTTGCCCCCCCACTGTAATGCTCCAAGTCTACCATCGTGAATGAACTTACATGCCAGTACCATTGGTCGTCAGAAGCTGTGTAATCCAGTGTGCCAGAGTTGTTTRATTGAGTGGACACTCGGAAGGTCATCCCTTCTATTTGGAAGAAGACACACTCGTCCTTGGGCGATGCCTCCACTTTACTCATTTCAGTATAGGACCACGTGTTGGGAATTCCTTGGCCTGATGCCTGACGCAGATCACGTCGGAATGTAACCAGCTTGGTGTCCAGGAAACGGAAAGGACCCCTGGGCTCCGTCGCCTGGAGCCGGCGAGGCATTGACTCAGGGAGAACTTGGGAACCATAGTCACCTCTGCCAAGGATTCCTTTCCCCTGGCTTACATTCTTAGAATTCATTTCAAGGCTTTCAAGTCCAATTTGGACCGGAGGGTGCAAGCTCTGGCTCTCCTGAGAGAATCCATAGCTGTCCATCTGGAAGGAGGACAATGAACCCGACAAGCGTGAGGCGGAGGTGGCCACAATAGACCACACACTGAACCATATCGGTGTTGTGGCTTTCAGAAACCTCACCGATAAGGAACAGAGAGACATCATGTAACCTTTCCTGCTCTGTCGAAAAACAGAAAGCCCAGAATAGTGCACTTACAGAGGGCTAACGCAACTGTATCAAGCTCGCCCCTCGGAGGTCTGCCACACGTTATGAAGATCAATCCAGCACAGCACAGGAAATGTTAGGATGCAAGGGAGTCACAAAATCGTGACTGAAAGGCATTTTCAAACTGAAACGGTGACAGCACCCTAGTTTTCCCAACGCAAAAAGAGGGCACGTGCATCATGCCTGATGGGGTGGGATTCTGAGAGGGAAAAAATCATAGAGACCCCTCAGGGCATACTCACACGAACACGCATTTTCATAAAATCGTAAATTGTAGGTGATTTTTTGAGTCACAAGGGCTCCGTATTTTGCGTTTTCACGGAAATGGGCACGTAAATGTCAGCGGCTTGGACAGCCGTGGGATTACATATTTTGCAGGAAACTCTGGAGGTCCCCACAATTGCGTATTTCTTTTAGACCTGTTTCTTTCTGGAAACAAAAAAAAAAGAATTGTACGTTTGGTGGGCAGCTCTGGTAAGTTAGAAAAAAAAAAAAAAAAAAGGGGGAAAAGGGATGGATTTGTATGCATCGTGCTGTGTGACCCCTCGACCCGTATAATTGCATTCCGAGAGGTCGAGACTGTGTCCTTTCTGGCTTTTGACGTGTAGGACTGTGCTGTGTGTCTGGGAAGTGCCCTACAATYGCAAATTGGCTCACATGTAATTTGCGATTGTACGCGGTAGTGTGAGTACCGAAACTGAGAATAAAAAGGGGCATATCTGTTTTGCGCATAGTGAAGAAAACATGAACGCCAGCAAATATGGAAGACTCCACTGTCAGAAAGTCGCACCCACCATGTCCCCCACCCAATCTTGAACGCGACCATCCAGAGTGGTCACGGCCAGCTACCCTCATCCCCTGACGCGATAATTGGCAGAAAGTGCCCACGCCAATTGAAAACCTTTTCCATTTCTGGCGCCCAAAGTTCGGCCGTTTGGTACTAACGGCSCAATGTTTTTGATGGGGTACTACAGGCCCATCCTTCGCTCCAGGGGCCCGACTGGATCATCCATCTGGTGCATACWCAGCAGCAGATTCATTTTGATGTAGAAGATGTCGAGGGTGGTACCGCTGAGGATAGAGTGAGGCCCAGGTATTTTGAAAAAGAAAGGCATTACCGGTTCATGAATCTGGCACAATAACAGCACCAACTTCATGAACCGATGAAAACAGACCACGGGAGCTGTGGCCACGGTGCCTTTCACAGACTCTGAGACTGAAGACATTTGGGCCTGTGGTACCAACGGCCGAACTTTGGGCGCCCAGAACAGATGTTTTTTTTTATTTATTTTTTATTTTTATAAATAGACTTCATGGTGGTGTGACCACTTGAGCGGGTGATAGAGCATCCCTCTCAAGTGGGCCCCATGGTTGAGGACTCCATTCTATTGGTGGGGAGCTGCACCTGCTGGAAAACGGGCCCAGCATCCCACTACAAGCAGAGGAGGGTATAGCTCAGATACAGACTGTATAGGGATCCTGCGGGAGGACTAAGGAGCTCGTTCGACACTCCTTGGGCGCGTAAAATCCCCGAGGAAATCATCGTTCCACTTATCCTTGGGGAAGAAAATGAAAAAAAAATGTGAAAACATTTCCTCGGGGATTCCTCGGGGATTCCTCGGGATACAGCCATTTAGACGCGTTCCCCAAGGGTCCTCCCGAGGTCCCTTGGAGGTCGAGCATCCGGAAGAATCGGGACGTTGAGGGCAGCTCTCTCGACGACAAATTTCGGCGCGGCTGGTCCATTGCTGTTACTGGCGGCCCGTGGACGGACATCTCCGGTTGGCAATGGTCGGCGTCATGGAACAATCCACCAACGGTCCCCTTTGACGGCCTGCCATCCTCTGCGACGTCGAAAAGGGGCTGCCTTGCGTCGCTGCCCTTCGGCACGAGCGGGAAAGCGCCCAACGGTCGGCAGATTCAAATACTTCAGCCAGCCCCCGCTCTCCCGATTGCGCAGTGTCTTCCGCGACGGAAYACGTTACCCTGCTTTTGTCGGTAGCTGCGATCGGCCGTTTGCACCACTGACCCTCGACTTTTCCTGGACGTCCAAGGTTGTCTTGTAGCTGTTGCCGTCGTCCACGTGCGTTTCATGGCCGACRTCTTTCAGAGGCTKCTGCTGCTGGTGCTGGTCGTCCTCYTGCTCCTCCTTTTAGTTGTCTKCCACGTGTGCATCCTCGGCATCGTTCCGCGACGTGGCCGCAGAAGACGGTCTTCGAAGAAGGGCGTCAGTATGGAGGGGCGCCAGGGGATGTGCAGGTCTGCAGGGGATCAGGGTGGTGGCCAGCGGGCTGGGCAGAGCCCGTCGAGAAGTTCAAGGCCGTCGGAGCGGTCTGGGTACACGCACCTGCCACCGCACTTGCAACCTCTGCCAGACACGTCCAACGAGGAGGCGGAGGACAAACAGTCACGGACCGTGCCRCTGGGAAGCGGGTTCACCCAGGAGTGGKCCGCTACAGAGCTCTGTGGAAGCCGCGATGGCGGTAATGGGCAGTCGTACACCGAGCTCCTCCAGCAGGGGCTGAGTGGCGACGAACGCGATGGCGSCGTTAATCTGTCGTTCAGGCTGTGTAGTGGGAGGCCGTCGGCCGCCTCGCGAACGGTCATCGTCAACAACCATCCCGACGACGACGGCGGGCAATTGACGGCTGTTGCGCGGTCATCGAAGTCTTCAGCGTCGGTCCGGGAGACGTCGGGGAACAACAGGGATCCTCTGAGGCAGCAATACCGGTCGCCGTCTGTGTCGAGGGGTGCCTCAGATCGCCCCTTGTGGATGCAGTCTCCGTCTCCCCTGTCCGCCAGTTCGACTGCCGCCCGCCGTCGAGGCGAATGCGGGGAGACGGATTGTGGCATCGTCGATGTTGGTGATGCACGCGACAGAAGGGAGGTGTGGGCAGAACAACGGCGGACGCTTCATCCACGACGGGAGGAATCCATAACTCGGGGGGTGCAGCGACTGCGTTTGGGGGAGGAGGAAAACGATGGCGATGCACCTGCGGTGGGCGCGGACRATCAGGAGTGGAACCATGACGACGGCGAAGGTGGGGAGGAGGACGTAGGCTACGTATCGCCGTTCAAGCAAAGCAGCATGGGAGGGAGGGGCGGGAAGACGAGGGCGTGTGCTCGCAATGGTCATCAGGGGAAAAAAGCGACGGGGAAGGGGAGCGATGTCGAAGGTGACGCTGATGCGGAAGGGGGTCGTCACTTCCGGTCCATYGACGACATGATAGCACTCATCCAGGCTAAWCGTGACCAGGCAGCRCATCTGCAGGGGATGGRTATCGCGTACGCTCGTATGAAGCCGCGAGAATGGAATTGGTTGGATGTGGCGCAGAGRTGGGTGTCGACAGAGAAGYAGAATGGTGCRGTAAGAAGTGGGACAATTTGATGCAGCAGTTCAAGAAGGTGCATCACTTTCAAGGCTTGTCCGGAAAACAGGACTTCTTCGAATTCTCTGGGAAAGAGAGGTTGTCGAAGGGATTCAATTTCAACATGGATCGTGCGGTTTACGACGAGATACTGGGGTCGAMTGCCAAGAGCCACACCATAAGCCCGAAGAACGTCGCCGACACTAGTGCTCCAGGTGGCGTGCGTCTGCCGTCCGCCACTTCTGCGGATCCTGAATCTGTGGGCGATGGGGACGCTGGTCCAGGGCACGACGACGACGATGATGGGTCAACGAGAGGTTCTTTTCAAATGACGAGAAGCCCTGCCGGTTTCGACAAGATAAAGAGCACGAAGCAGCAAACTGTTGAAGCGATGATGGAATGCATGGAGAAGCACGRGGCTCTGGTGGCGTTGACGATGGACAGCAACAGCAAGCAACTGTGCTCCATCCAAATCCGGCAGTGCGAGGAGTTGGAAGCGAAGGTCGAAGTGCAGAAAAAACACTACGCAGCCTCTAACGAAGTTAGCAAACTGATGTGTCACGCTTTGCTGGAGATAGCGAAGGCCATCCGCGAGCGTTAGAGTTCGTGCCGCCTCTATTGTGCTCATTGTTGCTTCCATCATTCGGACGACGCGAAATTGAGAGCCTTTCCGTAATCGATGTAGCCGTCACCTGCCCGTTGCGGACGTGACGGTTCCCGATTGGCCGTGCTGGCCAAGGAAGTCGGTGGTGGTCCGATTGGGTGGATGACTTCTCCTRTCACATTGACGTCTGTTTCTTTTTTTGTTTTATTTTTGGGGTTTCTCGTAGGCTACTGCCGATTGCCGGGACGGATAATTCCATCATCTCTGAATTTATATTGGCACCGATGAAGTGCAGTATGCACTTCCCTTTTTTAAATGATGACTTCGATTTGCTCTTTCTCTCTCCCTTTCTATCTATCTTCTTGTCTCTCTCCCTCTCTCTTTCTGTTTTGGTCTCTTCCCCCCCCCCTCTCTCTCTCTCTCTCTCTCTCTCTCTCTCCAA